ATGTCTGCCTTCCAATTCCCCCATGAAAGAATATTTTACTTCTTGTACTTTTTAATTAAAAAGTGTAATAATTAATTAAATCTTCAGAATAATTTAATTTTAATAGCCCTTCTGAAAATATTAATTTTTTAATAGGGACAATTTTTTTTTTTATTTGCACTAAAAATAAAACAGCCTGAGACAATTCCAAAATTATATATCTTAGACATGTTTAAAAATCTTTCATTACAAAATGCAAACAAGTAGTAGCAAGCCCACCAGTTTAGAAGGGACAGATAATAGCTGGTAAAAAGTATGTTCATAAACGTTCTTTTGCCAGAACCCATTTTATTAGCTGTGTGTTTAGAAGTCTCTCTGATAAAAACTGTCAACTGCATTCATTGAAGAACTCAAAACCTGAATGGTAATTGCATCTGGACACACATACTAAAAACTTTTTGAGTGTCGTAAAATTAGGTTTATTAGATGCGATATGTTTTAATGATGGTGTACAAAACCTCATTAAAGTAATGGAATAATTAGGAATACAACCAGGATTTTATATGGTAAAGTGGTTTGCAAAAAATAGATTGAGAGAGAATAAATGAGGCCTATTTTGCTTACAAACTTTCTAAAACGGCCAGAAACAGTTAAACAAAAACAACTAGATGCAGAAATGTAAAATCAAGATGATCATGATGCAGAAAAACATTAAAATGTTTTTTAATAAATTATTAGTGTTTAAACGGTCATTTAGTTTTTCTCCAAATTTTTTTAAAAACTTTCGGTACACTTTTCTTGGAAATAAACCAGCGTGGAAGGTTTAAATTTTCCACAGCTGTGCAGGATATAAAAATTTGCGATCATTAGTTTTGGATATATTAAAAATTTAATACCATTTTTTCTGACTTTCAACATTTTACTAATTTACTTTAAAGATTGAGAGAGCATTCGTGAGGCCTATTTTGCTTACAAACTTTCTAAAACGGCCAGAAACAGTTAAACAAAAACTAGATGCAGAAATGTAAAATCAAGATGATTATGATGCAGGAAAACATTAAAATGTTCTTTAATAAATGTTTAGGTTTAAACGGTCATTTAGTTTTTCTCCAAATTTTTTTAAAACTTTCGGTAAACTTTTCGTGGAAATCTGTGATTTAAATTTCCACGTTAAATAAAATATCAATTTTGGTAAAAAAAAAGTTTTTTTCGCAAAAGATAATTACTTTAATATTTTCTTTAGTGAAATGTAAAATTTGCCATACATACTTCGGCCAAACCTAACTCCAACCTTCAGCAAACCTTGTCAGTAGTCAACGCGCGCGAACGACATTTTTACAACTTTGAAAATGTGCGCGTAGCGTATGTTGTAATTAACCATTCATTAATTTTAAATTAATAATTAATTGTAATCAATTTTATTACATTTAAAATCCATATACATATAAAACTGAATAATTAAAAATATACCTTGTAAATTATATGCACATTTAATTAGAAATTTTCTTTTAACTCCTCAAGCATTCACTAATAAAAAGTACTTCAAATCACTACTAATCATAGAAAAAATCAGAAGCTATAAATCATATCTTTATTCTGGATATGATTTCTACAGGGAAATAAAATTTAAATAACCAAGAATGATACATATAAGTAAGTATTAAACAAAATACGCATAATTTATGAATGCAAAGATTTATATGTAGCATGCTTAGCAAGCTTAAGTTCTGATTTTGAGAATGTTTTTTTATAACACAGTTCTTCATTTGCCTGCATATTTATTTTTTCAATCAAAACTGCTTCAAGAGTTTTAAGACCTAAATTTGGTCGAAATTCCGTCTGATTTTTTTTTAACAATAGAAAAAATTCTTTCGCAAGCTGCATTTGAATGAGGTATTATTAAGACAGCAAGCATTACAGAAGGCAATACTTTGTATTTAATACACCCATTCATATTTTTTAATTTGGCAATTTCTCCCCATGCTATATCAATACGCAAATCTACAATTTCTTTCAAATCATCTACTTGATACATGGAAAATTCAATTTCTACTTGATTAAGACATTTTTCATCAATAATGGATGGAAAAGTATTCATCAAGTAAAGAACAGATGAAAATGAGACTTCAGTTCTCAAGTTGATGTCAGCAACTTCAGCATGTTTTAGAAATGGATCACTCAGTGGAAATTTATCAATTATATATGAACATGCAGTTACAAAAAAAGCTCGCACAGAATTGAAAAATGATTTCACTTCACTTTCATTCAACTTGGCATTTTTTAAATATAGTCTTGTTTCCGCACCAATCACTAAATTTTCATTTTCTTTTTGTTTACTATACTTCTGAAATGGAATAGACGTTAGAGTAACATCTTCATTTTCTTTAGAAATTACTGATGGTTTTACGAATCTAACAAATAAATTCATTAAAAGTTCAAAAAGTTCTCTTCTCAATTTATGTATATAAGGAGCTTGTTGTTGCAAATTAATATTTACTGTTATAAACAAAGGCAAAGTATTTTTCAAAAATAACAAGTACAATTTGGGTGGTCGGTGACTGTAAAATTTTTTTAATGTTTTGCAATCTCTTTCCTTCAAATTGGCAATTTATGGTTATCCTTGGTCTGTGACTGTAAAATTTTTTTAATTTTGTCCTTCATTCATAAATCTGGTAAGATGGCATGCAGAAATTATAAAATTAAAATATGAAACCGTAATTTATAAAATAATGAGCAATTATGATCTAAAGGGTATCAAAATTTACCAAAAAAAAAGCCTAATATTTATTTGTTTACTTTATTAAACATTTCTTTCAACGCGCGGATGCGTAAAGCATACCTTACATAGCGAAATTAGAAAATTGCAACCAGAAAACTTTGATTTGTATTCGTGATATTTATAATGACGAGGAATTTGATTTAAATCATATCAAAGACGGAGTACATCGAAATTAAATACTACATTTAGTAAGGAATTATAAGCCGAATAAAATAAAAACATCTGCCCTGAAGATAACGATAGTGTTGACAGATCAACTTCCAGTTCATTGCGCGCCGCGACGTCCCCCCCCCCGCAGCAGCGTGAAATTGATAAACAGATTTCGGAACGGTTAGATAAACAAAGATATGCCTTTATCCCAATTTTTTGTTTGATGGACATCGAAACATACTTTCGTTTTCTAGATCCTTTTTGGAGCTCCAGCATCGGAAATTCTATTTGACATAATCGAAAGTTCAAGCTTACTTTTATAAAATTGCTCTTACAGTCTGCAAAAAATAATAAGCCGGATCCAATTCGAAGATTAAGGAACAACGCAATCATCAACATTAACTGAAATAGATAATTTTAGCTGATACCGTCCGTTATATATTAAATGCGCAGTCGTAAATGTCTTGCGCGCACGAGTAAAACGCCTATGCGCATGCGCAGAAAGATTTTAGCTTTGAGGTCCGGATTATAGATCATTCCGGATTATGGGTGTCCGAATTAACGACTTTTGACTGTATCTATTATCGACATTTCAATTTCTGAGCCAATTAATTTTTCAGTAGCTTTTTTTGCAGCTTTATGCAAGAGGTGGCACGGACAACCTCGGGTGATTATACTTGGTTGATGCATTTTGATAAATGATGCTACACCTTTAAACTTTCCAATCATATTACTAGCATTATCTGAAGAAAATGATAAGCAATTTTTCCATTCTAAACCTTTGTTTTTAAAGTTTTCATTTATACAATTAAAAATACCTTCTCCTGTATTATTCGTGCATTCTAAAATAGAAATCAATGAAGTAATTATCACTCCCTTTTCTTTACTGTAGTATGTTATAACCAATGGGTACAGTTTGTTATCATTGTTATCATTACTTCCATCAGTACTTAGAGAAAATGATGTACTGCACACTGATTTTATAATATCAGCAACAGTATTTTCTGCAAGCGTTTTCACAATAGCAGCAGTTTTGGTATGACCGCAGCTAAATTTTTTTGCTATGGCAGAATCCGGAAACATTGCTTTGAAAAGCTCTTTGGAATGATCCGAAACAGAAAGCGGTAGATTATGTTCAATTAAAAAAAACGAACAAAATAGCATTCGGCTTTTATAGGATCTGTTTCATCATCTTTTATTAAGAAATTTGTTATTTCTTTAGATTTTTACGGTGCCAAGTTCTATATGCTTTTGAGAAAACACATGCCGTTTACAGTCATCTTTTCCGCCATGAGCAACTGAGAAGTCTTTGTTGCATACACTGCAGTGTGCGTGATTCACAGAAATTTCGGACGCTTTAATGCATGGAAATTCTGAAGAATATGAATCTTTAAACTTCTGCTTTGATAATTTTGGCTTCTTCGTTCGAGGCAGCATTATGATTAAAAATCTTTCACCTGATTCACAGTTCACAAGACACACGCTAAGCTCTCGCCGTAAACTACACAATGCAGCCTAAACACGCATCAGCGAGGAACCTGGGAGACAGACAATTGGGTGGAACTATTGATAAGTCGTTAACGGTTGGAGTTACTGATCTACGATTGGCTAATTCTTCAAAACTAGGAACGCACTCAACACGTGATATATGATAACACGAGTATTCAGCCAATCATCGGATGAATTAGTTGGTTCCGTTTTGCGTACTGGTTCTCCTGCTCTTGTTTCTGTAAAATCCGTAGTTTTTTCCATACTTTTCGTAGCTCCTAGTTTTTCATGAATTTCCGTAGAAACTACGGAGAATCCGTAGTAGTTGGAGTTTATGCGTGCGGTATTTTTAAAGAAAAGTACCATAGCACACTGTCGCAAGATTTATAAACAGAGGAGAGAAACAAATGGTTTTTAAAAAACATGAACTTTTAATTTACAATCTATTTTACATGCAAAAAATAGAGTACATGTTTTATGAGAAAAGTTATACCCTAATAACTTTGTGTCAAAACAGTTGAATTTTGCTAGTCGATATGTTCCCTTAATAAATGCCAATTTTTGCATTTATGATATTGTGTAATAATCTAAAATAGTACCAAAAATGATGTTAGGACAGAAAATTTTTCCTCTAAAGTTGGGCTTTGTGATCACAAAAACCTCTGTTCTGTGCGATGATTCACCCCCGAGGGAGCGTCTCGAGCAAGGGTGCACCATCTTGAGAAGATTAACAAATGGAAAACATATCAGTAATCCTACAGGTTGGCTGCATGACAAAGACTGCTGAATAATGAAACATGGGTTTGAACAAGTTGGTGGCATGGTCAATTCTCCCAGTTACATGGGAGAATTGACCATACCACCAACTAAGCCAGTTTCCTTTATGAAGGAATCCTCTCCTTTGAACATCTCTAGAAGTCTGCTGGAAATTTTGAAGGGCTTTTTAAATACAAATAATAGTATTTTTTGTATTCTTTGCTAAAATAAAAATCTAAAATTTTAATTTTAACTTTTTAGAAATTATAAACAAAATAACTTATTCTATATATTACTTTTAAATAAACCATAATTGATATGCAAAAATATAAATGCTTAATCTTTCATTTTAAATGAAATATCAACATACTAATAAAACAAACATCAACTAATTTAGTTGGGAGGCCTTATTAAATGAACAAAAATTTTTAAATCATTTCTGTTTTCAAATTCTTAGCTTATATCTATCTTTCTATATACATATATATAATATTTCTCTTTCAGTTGAAGTCACAGTTAAAGGAAAGGTATGTAAAATTACATCTGTTGTGTGAACACTGCCTTTAATGACCATTGCAACAATATATCCCTGAATTTTAGGTAGATAAAGATACAGGAATGGTTGTTAATATTGCAGACTTAAAGAATGTAATGAAGGTAAAAGATTTCATTTACTTTTTAATCTTATAGTTCTAAATACAAGTCAAAAATAAATATGCATATTTTCAGGTTTCTGTAATGGATACATTAGACCACAAAAATCTAGACAAGGATGTTCCTTTCTTTAAAGAAGTTGTTAGGTAGGACTTATGGATTTGCCTATGACAATTTTAAAAAAAATATTTCTGAATTATATAAATATGCTTTCAATTTTCTGAAAGCAAGCTAATTGTATCTTTTCTTACAGTACCACAGAAAATCTAAGTATTTTTATCTGGAAGCAACTATCTAGCAATCTTCCTCGTGGAATGTTATACAAGGTTAAAGTTCATGAAACTGATAAAAACTGTGTTACTTTTTATGGTGAATTTAAAGCATAATTAAAAAAAAAAAATAGACAGCTGTGATCTCTAATTAGAATGTTACCATGATGCAAAAATAAAATGTAACACCATAAAATTTCTTAGTTTCAAAATAATTCAGAACACCAAATAAAAGACGATTTTTATTTTAATCAAAAAGTCCAAATCCCATGTCATCTTCTGATTCTTCAGACTCTTCTTTTTTAGCCTCCTTTTTGTCTTCTGTGAAAATAAAACAATATAAATACATGCAAAAACACACAATAAGCTGCAATTTGAAAACTTCAAATTATGCTACTTCCCAAGAAGAAATTTACCCATTTTATATTTTTTAACTAAATGTTTAAATTTAAAATTTTATAATTTTTTGTTAAATTTTTAAAGCCAAATCAAAAACACAAATTTTAAGCTTCTACACTACTGAAAGAAAAGTCATAGCAGTACACTACTATTTGAATTATACATATAGACACCACTTAGTGAGAAGAGAAATTGCCCTGTATATTCCTACAAAAATTACATTATAGTTACAATTTTTATTTGAAGCAGATTATAGCACAGTAAAATTATAAGGAAAAATTCAAATCTGCTAAAAAAATCTTGACACCAAGTAACAAATATACTTTCTCCAAAGCGTTAAATATAATGAATTATTTCCCTCCCGTAAATATGGGATGAGAAATTTATATATTTACCTTTAGCAGGAGAGCTTTCTGCAGCAGCTGCAGGTGCTGCACCTCCAGAGGCAACTACTGCTCCACCAGAAGGCATTGAAGCCAATTTCGACTTACCTACAGAAAGCACAAAAGCTCAATTTATCAAATATCATTTACATGAGATAATTCACAAAAAGCCCCCTAAGATTTACTATAAGAATAATTTTTAGAAAAGGCAAAATATAATGCTAATATAAGAAAGCAAAAAACATTTCACAAAACGTGAAATATTTAAACACATTACTGCCTTCAGTGCTTCTATGACAATTTTCAATATAATAAAATGATGTCATAGAAATATAAACATATGTTTAAAAAGAATCTTATGTGTTCAAATGATGCATAACATTTATTATTTCCATTCAAGAATGCCTACAATAAGCTTCCTAGTAAAAATGAATTTTAGTTCTTGGCAGGATAACCTGTTTCTAAGTTTAACGTTCTTTACTATTTATTGATGTAAAAATTTAATACAACTATTAACTATAATATTGGTCATATCTTCATAAAACATTCCATATATGTATATAAAAAATTAACGAAAATTCAGATAAAATAAAAGCTATCAAGAAAAATTATGTTTAGAGCTGTTAGCGGTATTTCATTTATTGCTGAGAAACATTTTGTTGATAAAGGCTGAAAATTAAGTTGGCAGCTGTAATAAACGTACCAGTATAAACTTTATTTGCATTCTACTGCCATTGTTATGGCAACAGGCATGCATAAACAATTCCCACATATCTACCACAATATGCAAGACATTTTAACAGCAAGCTAACACTTGAATGATTAATCATAATAAGCATTTTTAAAACTGTGTTGAAGAACCCAGTTTTTAGAACTATTAGTAGAATGCCAAATATTATATTCCAGAACTGGCATAAAAATACCCAGGAATTCATGAAAATTATTCAGTTTAAAGTTCAAAAATACATTTTAAAATGCAATATATATATCAATACATTTAAGAAATCCCTTCTATTTAAATTAAATTTAGTGCATTCGCATATATTCCCAGCTGAAAGGTAGTAGCAAAGTGAAGCCATATCCAATTAAAGTGGAATTTCTTTCACCTTGCAATATTAGAGAACAAATTTGAATGCCTCTTGTCCAGTAATGCAGGGTTTACGGCTCCTTTGTATATAGTATTTTAAGAGTACGTTTAATTTCAAAATGCAGTATATTATGAAATTTTATCTAGCTAAGAAGTTCATTTAAATTAAATCCAGTACATGCATATTTATTCACATATATCCACAGCTGAAAGATAATAGCAAAGTTAAGTTATATCCGATTAAAGTGGAATTTCTTTCACCCTGCAATATTAGAGAACAATTTTGATTGCCTCTTGCCCAGTAATGCAGGGTTTACAGCTCCTTTTTATGCAGTAATTTAATACACTCACTTCCAAAAGTTAAGCACGGGGAGGAAAATGCTAATTTCGGGAAGCGAATCAGATTTGAAGAGGATGCAATTCGCTGCAGAGATAGATGGAAGTATACAAATATGTTAGGTAACAGCCAATCACGCTTTCATGTCAAGAAATATGCAAAAAAGGCAGTCTTATAAGAAGCCAGATTTATGAAGGGTTACAGGAGTTGATTGTAAGTGCTGATAGAAGGTGTTAAAAACTTTCGAAGAATTTGTTTTCAAGACATACATGTTTCTATGACTTCCAGATGCCGAAGATTACATATGTGTGGTCTGTACTTAGGTGTTTTGAGTTTGTGTTCCTTTATTCGTCCAATCAAGAGGGGCACGATTACAGTGGTGCCGGGAACATGTCAATTGGAATGTGTCCGACTGGGGCAATGTCATGTTTACAGATGAGTCAAGATTTGCTCTGGAGCCAGATGACAAGCGTATAAGGATATGGAGTGAACAACGAACACACAATCAGTCCCAAAACATCACACATTCAGTGGTGGAAGCATTATGGTGTGGGCAGGGATTTCATTAGGATACTGTACCGACCTGCACATCCTTAAACAGGGTTCTTTTGACGGCTGTCCGGTATCAAGATGAAGTCCTAGAACCCATTGTGAGATTGTACACTGCAGGAGTTGGCCATACATTTGTTTTCAGTGACGATAGCACACGTCCCCATAGAGCTGACATTGTCGATGACTACTTGGAGAGTGAAGGGATTATGTGTGTGGCATGGCCAGCATATTCGCCTGACCTTACATTGAAAATCTTTGGGATGCACTCGGCCGTGCTGTATCTTCACATTTCCTACCTCCAGCCACTTATTGAGCTGGAAACTGCTCTACAAGAAGAATGGCGATTGCTTAATTCTGTGGTGGTTAACTACCTAGTTGAATGCATGGTCACAAGGTGTAAACTTTGTATACAGATGATGGGGAAATCGAATACCCTATTAATGTCCTTTTTTTTCCTTCATTTTATGCTATTTATTTTCACTTTATACATTTCTGTTTAAATTTCCAGTATTTCATTATCTGATAACTTACAAAAATTTAATATTATTTTCATTTCTGTATATAATTATTGATTTTGTTTTATGCATAAATATATATGCTACTCTCCTGCTGAATTTTTGAGTCAATCAAAGCAGTATTTGTTGATTTTTTTTTTTTTTTTTTTTTTTTGCATTTTACATCTTCGTGCTGAACTTTTGGAAGTGAGGGTAGTATGTTTCATTTTAAAATGCAGTAAATTATGAAATTTTATATATATAGCTAAGTTTATTTGAATTAAATCCAGTATATATACATTTATTCACATATATCTACAGCTGAAAGATAATCGCAAAGTTAAGCTATATCCGATTACCCTGCAATATTAGAGAACAATTTCGATTGCCTCTTGCCCAGTAATGCAGGGTTTAGAGCTTCTATTTTATGCAGCATATCATTAAATTTTATGTAGCTAAGAAGTTCATTTAAATTAAATCCAGTATATGTACAATTATTTACATGTATCCACAGCTGAAAGATAATAGCAAAGTTAAGCTATATCCGATTAAGGTGGAATTTCTTTCACCCTGCAATATTAGAGAACAATTTCGATAGCCTCTTGCCCAGTAATGCAGGGTTTAGAGCTTCTATTTTACGCAGCATATAATTAAATTTTATGTAGCTAAGAAGTTCATTTAAATTAAATCCAGTATATGTACAATTATTCACATGTATCCACAGCTGAAAGATAATAGCAAAGTTAAGCTATATCCGATTAAGGCGGAATTTCTTTCACCCTGCAATATTAGAGAACAATTTCGATTGCCTCTTGCCCAGTAATGCAGGGTTTGGAGTTTTTATTTTATGCAGCATATCATTAAATTCTGTATAGCTAAGAAGTTAATTTAAATTAAATCTAGTATATGTACAATTATTCCCATGTATCCACAGCTGAAAGATGATAGCAAAGTTAAGCTATATCCGATTAAAGTGGAACTTATTTCACCCTGCAATATTAGAGAACAATTCAGATTGCCTCTTGCCCAGTAATGCAGGGTTTATAACTTAATTCCATGCAGTAATTTAATTAAATTTATGCATCAAATTGTATACATAATAAAAATACAAAAAACCTGTGCAGCTAATATTAGATTTTCAATTATCTATATTTTCTGGGCCATATAAAATTAATCTAGTTAATTTTTTAAATCTTTTTTATTAACTTAATGCAGAAAAATACATAGAAAGTACAATTTCTAAAATATATGCAATACATAGATTTTATAAAAGACATAACCTTAAATATCAAAAGGAGTGCAATTATGTACTACGCAAAATTTATTTACAACAAGAACTGATCTAATAAAACTGATTTAAAAATAATTGATACAATAAGATTAGAAACAGAAGAACTAAACTACTGGAAGAGCAGTATGTGTCCCAGGGAAACCAGCATGCATGTGCCCCTAAAACTACTCAAAGAAATAAAATTTAAGTAAATTAGCATGGAGCCTTCTGGCAAGTGACCAGTGGATTCGTGCATTAAGCCTACCTATATTTGATGAAAACAGGTTATATATTTGTTTTATGCAAATAATTTTCTTTTTGTGCAGCAGAAATAAAAAGCTTTTTTACCAGTCTAAATAGTGATGAAAAACTTCTGAATAACACAAAAAAATTTTACTTGTTAATCAGAATGCCAATCTTTTTTTTAAACTTGGAAGTGGTTATTAGAACATGTAAGCAATAACCAAATACAATATTTTTACAAATAAAAAAATAGTTAAGAACACACAAGAAAAGTTTTAAGAATAGCTATGAAAACTGAAGAATAAATTAGTAAGAATGCATCCCAATTTGTCCTACATCTGGTTCTATATACTTGTGTTTAACTGCAAAACTCCATTAGACTTGCATGATGAGGTAGTCAATGATAGTGGCAGGAAAAAGAAATTATTAAAACAACAAATTTTATAAAATTTATTTTTTAATTTTAATATCCTCTAAAAATATTTAATTATAAACTACATAATATATGCCATTACCCATATTTTAAGTTTTAGGTGTACTATATTTTTTTTACTAGGAATCTTGTGGCATTCTATGTATCTGGAAAGCCAAATCTCACAAATATATATTTTAAGAATGAATTTGTGTGTATATTATTATCGCAAAGCCTTGAGGGCTATCTGCCTAACGGGAAGGATGCCTTTGTGGAGGACTTTTTGAGGGAAACTGGCTCGTATACACGTTACACATGGGGAAAACCACGAAAATGTCCATGCAGCCAGCCCGTACACGGGATTTGAACCTCGGACCAAACTACCAGTGTTCAGCGACTTTACAGCTCAGCTGCTGGTTGTCCCAAGAATGAATTTGAGACAAAAATATCATAACTTTAACGACCAATGAAACTTAGAACTCAAACAAAACATATATAAAAATGGCAGCATTACTTATTAAAACTAAAGAATTGATATGCACATGGTTACCAAGTTTGGTGACTTTTACTAAGCTATACTTGCCAACTTAAAAAATTAGGAGAACAAAAGGATATTTTAAATAATAAAAATACATTTTTAATAATGAATTAACTTTAAATAGTAACTAAGCACATGAAAGTTCAGATATTATTTCTTAAATGCAAATAAAGTAAAAATACATGTGGGAAAAAGTAGTTTTATTACTTGTACCTACTAATAGAAAGATACTCTAATCAGTTTCCCTAATTATTAAATAATACTTTAACCAGATTACTAATCATTGATGGCAAAAGATTGAATTAATGGAATTCTGAACTTGCATCAAACGATAGGAAAATGGAGCATACAAGAAAAGCAAACGCTTTAAGGTCTGAAGACAAAAATCTAAATATTCATTCTTCACAAGATAATCTTGCAATAATTAGAAAATAGTGGTTTTTATTTTGGAAGAACATGACGCCTATATTTTTTAGTATTATTTTGAGATTTACCAATTTAAGTGCAGTAATTACAGAATTTTTATCACACCTATTTTTATAGTGAATGTAATAACCCCATCTCCATTTACTTAAAATATTTTTAACTTTCAATACAGCCCTTTAGCCTAACTCTAGAAGCAGTTAATTCTTCTTCAGAAAATGTAAGTGGGTTCCACTGGTTGAGGATTCTACATAAACCAGGGTGTGCACACATATTTTCAACTTTTTCTCATTTCAATAGCATGCAGCTGTACGGATTGTTTCAATTTTCCCTTCATTTTAGAAATTTTTTATAATATTATAATAATATAATAAATATCAACAATATGTTCATCCATGATTATTGGCAAGGACAATTTTTTGAACTGCTAAATTTAAAAGGTGCACCTCCTAATTTGCAAATCGGATTATAATCTAAGCAATTATGCAGAGAAATTTTAAGTTTTAATAATTGGCTCATGTATATTACAGCCTGTGAAATTTCTTTTTAAAGTGGGAACAGAAAGTAACAGAGCACTCAATTTTTGAAGTCTCTGGATTAAAAAAAAAAAGAAGATAAAATAATTGGATACAGTTTTGCATTGGTATTATTGCTTCTATCTCAAGAAAGGCAGAAGGAACTGTTTTAATGCAATCAATAACTGAAGATTTGTTAGACTAGTTTCTCGAACGCATTTATTGGGCAACCGGAGCCATTTTTATCCTTGCACTTGATTATTTTTCAGCAATTTTACTGGCAGGAAACATTTTTCTAAATAAAGCCGCAGCATGATGATGCATTCAGTGGCAGGTTGTGCTCTAGTTAAAAAAAAGGGGGGGCAGGAACATGCATTCTGCATTGTTTCCACAGAAAAATTGACATTTTTAAAATACAAATCGCATTGTCGTTATGTACACACGACGGCCCTTTGAGTTTGCGAAACAAAAATCACAAGGCCAACCGATACACACTGCAATATTACATTTCCTTGATGAAATAACAGAAGGGTACTATTTTTGAAAAGTACACGAGTACTTTACACTTTTCACAGACATAACTCAGACAAAAACCGCAGTTTCTTAAAGGGAAGCATGCAAAACGTATGCTGCTCACTAGCCACATGAAAAAAATAAACCTCAATCTGGTTTTGTGCTCCTTGGCTAATATCGCAGTGGTGCTTGATTATCATTGGAGAACTGGAACATGATGTTCTTAGATGTTTTGGACTCCCACACATTACAGCAGAAATGCGCATGTCTCATTAATAAAACGGCTTCGTTTTTTAATGTGTCTAGTGGAATAACAAGGTTTTCCAGATACCAAAATTCACTTTTTGAGCACAAATAACGAAATAGACATTTTTAGAATAAGAGAAAGAAAGCAGAACTAATCTGCAAATCGGGTTAGCAAGTGTATGGTCGGAAATAAGGAGAATTGCCAACTTTGCTAAGTAGCCCTTTTCAATGAAATTGCTACATTCATGTGAAAAATTAATAACAAGATTAGACGATTTTCGAACAGATAACAAATGGTGAATTGTGTTAAACGATGATAGCTATTATAATGGCATATCTGTATTTCATAGGTATAAGAGCAGAGCAATATCTTGTCTTAGCTTACACATATATTTATAAAATCAATACCACAAAACTTTACATTTCAATAAAAAATAACTTTTCAGACATTACTTAGCTTTAAATTTAAATATCACGCAACTACAAAATAAAATTATATTAATTTATTGCATATTTACATTGTAATTCTTATAGTCTCACAGATGATACAATCAAAATGTTACTGAAAAAAAAATATCAGTACTCTGTCCCTACAATTAAAAAGGGGGAAAATTATATTAACCCTCTGAGTGTTATGACCGGCTTTATCTGGTCATCAGAAGTTTTGCTACTTGGCATATATTAACTTATATAATTTAAGATATTTTGCTTTCTTACTTTCTTTAATAATGTAAATATCTTAATGAACGTAAATTTATGAAAATACAGTAATTGTACAAACTCAATTAATAAACAATGTTTAAATACCGGTCTTCATGACGGATCTAAAATACCGCTCCGCTCAGAGGGTTAAAATAAAGTTAGGACACTGCGTAAGCTTCTGAAATATTTAGATTCAATGACTAAGCATAATAGCTATTTTAACATAAAAGTATCGCCAAAAGTGCACATTAAATAAATTACACTGTAAAATATCCAAAACAATCAACAGAATCAGAAAGCAAAGAGCCAACAACTCTTGATCTCAGAAAGTATTTTAGGCTGCAACAAAAAGATACGATAATCTTCAAAAATGTAAAAGCATCCATGCAGCAGACAGGAGACTAATGTTAAACAGCTTTATGCATTCAAGTATGAAAGCAGAATCTTACCTACAACAAACTTTACAATTGAATAAAAAATATTTTAAATATATTTACCACTTTGAATAACTTCATTGATATCTTTTCCACTCAGTTCTGAAATAACTTTCTTTGCTCTTTCCTTATCAACTTCTATTCCTACACTTCCCAGGATCTTCTCAATATCACCAACAGATGGATTTTTATTTCCTCCTAAAGAGGCTAACAAGTAAGCAGCTACGTAACGCATTGCTGTAAGGGAAGAGAATTGGAAATAATTTTTTTGTATTTTTATTTCTTAAATTTGTTTATACCTAACACATAACAGAAGTTTTAGCTAGAACTAATTAATTAAAAAGCTAAAATTAATGCTAACTTAAAATTTAGATTTCCAAGAAACATTAATACCAGATAATACATGGCATAAATCATCACCTATAATTTAACATACTCCAGTGTTATATATAAGCTCTTCTGAAATTTGATACATTCAATACAAAGTCTGAGACCCAAACTCGTGGAGACTTCAAATGATTAAAGATTTTTTTTTAGATATTAGATCATCAGTTTATATCTAGCAAGATCACACACAGAAATTAATAAATTAAAAATATGAAATAACAAAGCATTTATGACCTTAAAGGAATTATTTACAAACACATGAAAAAATTAAAACACATGAAACTCAATATTTAATCATTAAACTATTTTTTCAATGTAAGTTGTTTAATTTGCTTCATTTTTTGCACTAATACTTTCTTTACAATTCTACAGATAGACATAATTTCTTGCTCAGTTACAAAATTCGTTTTTTAAATTCTGTAGCTGATGTTTCAAGAATTCTCACTAAAATGTCTAATAAATTTTTTTTTCTTTCATTTTCAACAACCTCCATGTCACTTTCTTAACTGTCAGTAATGATATTTTCTCAATTTAGTACCATATTACAGATTTTGCTCTCTGTCAGGTAATTGATCGTCATCAAAATGAAAATATTTGCTACATTTCTTATTTACCACCACCAAAAGATAATAAATAATGACTCGCCAGCCTGGCAGTCAAATTATTCAGAAGGGGTAAACTAAAACTTTGGTTCCAAATATATACCAAGCAGCCAAATCACTGACATAGATTTATGTTACTAAATGATTTCTTCAATATGGAGATTTAATGCCAAAGTGAAATTAAGAATCAGGACTTTCCATGTTTCATTAGAAAAAATACCATATGTGCATGTTCTAAAACACAAATTTTTCTTAAGTTGCTGTAATCTGGATTTTTAGATCATTCCAGATACTGGATGGACATCTGCATTTTGGATTTTAACTGTATAACATCATTTTAAGATTTAGATAATGAATGATAATTTAACAAAATCATGATTCATTATCTGAATATCTTCATATAATGCCAGGGCTGGCACCAAAACTGGTGTCTGAATTTTAGGACTCTCGAAGATTGCACTGGGTCACAAAATATCCTGCATATATGTAGGAATTTATTCAGGACGAAACAAAAAGTCTTCATTACGATCACAATGCCCCAATAATCAAGCAACTAACGGATGGTAATATCCGTAGTATGGTTCTAAAAAATTCATTTGACAATTTAGTGAACAAAAAAAAACTTTAGAACTGAACACGAAATTATGTCTGTCTATATAATTAAGGAAAGTGGATTACAACAAAAAAGCAACTCGAACAATTACAAATGTTTAACAAAGGAAACAAATATAGTTTATTTTTTTTTTTTTCAAAGACGTGTTTCATCATTTCATAGTTTTAGTTTTTACAAGTTTAATTTTAACATTACTTAACTAAAACAATTATCTATGCTTATACTTCACTTTAGTAATTTGTAAGAATTAACAAACCTGCAAGTAGGCTGCATTAATATTAAATCTAATCCAATATTTAAATTAGCATTAAACTACTTATATTTCACACTTACAACAGCTTCATATATTTAAAAAAAGATTAGTGACTTTTTATTTAAATTTTACAATTACCCTTATACCGATTCATTTTTTTCTGCCTCATTTCGTCATGTACTCACTCAATCCGAAGGTTTATGCAGATTTTGTCCGACATAAGTTAATTTCAGAAGTAAAATGCAGTACAAAGTCCGTAATCTGGATGTTGGAACTTCAGCGATTCCGGCTTATAGATCAATTTAAATCTGGTAAGATGGCATGCAGAAATTATACAATTAAAAACATGAAACTGTAATTTATGAAATAAAGAGCAATTATGATCTAAAGGGTATCAAAATTTACAAAAAAAGCTTAAATATTTATTCAGGGTTTGTACACATTTTTGCACATGGAAATTAAGTACTTTTAAGGACTATTAATGAAAAAAATTAAGGACCTATGGGCAAATGGGAACTAAATAAATTCAATTAAAAATATTATCTATGCCTGAATTTCACTTCTGCAATACCATCCTAAAAATTAAATAGATCTCTAAGTAGTATGCATTATTACTAAAACTGAATAAATTAACATAATTATTAATAAGTTTGAGAATAAAATTTGAGACTTCATGCAATTTATCAAGTAGCATTAAATATTTTACACTTATAATACATATCTAAAAGAAGATAAGTGACATTTATATTTTAACAGTTAGCTTAATGGTGATTTTTTTAAGTCTCATTTTTTCACATACTTGGTCAGTCTAGAGCAGTGGTTCTTAACCGGGGGGTGCCCGCACCAAACCATAAAAATTATTAAATATCATTCATTAAATTTCTTATAATAAAAGATTTGAAATCTGCAGTAGTGTCCCCAATACTGAAGCTCATAAAAATTGGTAGTACTTAGCTCACTTATCGGCAAAAGACAGGAAAGAGCCAGTGCCAATGGGCGTATACACTACACTACGAAAAGGCATGGAACGCTACAAATGAATGCGAACAGGCAGCTAGGTGACGCTGAAAAAGAAAAAAAAAAAAAAAAAAAAAAAAAAAAAAAAAAAAAAAAAACCTTGTGGGAATACAAGCGTGACCTTCGAGAAACCTCGATAGCCACGAAGCGACGATACAAGCGGAGAACGTTATCCCAGCTTGCGCATGAGCTGAGTTCAACATGTGCTACTCCAACGAAATCTATGGATTCACAGATTTGTATCTGCATCTACTGCGACTGTGTTAGGTAGAGTCAACTATTGTGTCTGCGACATGTGTATTGTGTATTCTGACTTGTTCGGAAACCTCGAGACTAATAGATTCTTAATTGCCCGTTCAAGCCGAATAGAATTCAGTGATATTACAAATGTAAAAACATTATATCTATTATATTACATTATTTCTAAATAATTAAATCGATTATAGTGATATGTCAAAAATACGACAATGGAACAATAAGTATGCCGGTTATGGATTTACCTGAGCAACCGAAAAAGATGGTATGCAACAACCGCAATGCATCTTGTGTTCCAAGATATTTTCAAACAGCAATCTCAAACCTTCAAAGTTATTAGAGCATTTCAACAATGTGCATGGTGGCGAAAAAGCGCATGGCATGAACAGCTTGAAGTCAAAGAAGGCTCGGTTTGATACGAGTGGAACTATCCTAAAATTGTGCGGACCAGCAATTCAAAAACCTTTATTAGATAGAAGCGTCATATCCAGTGGCATATTTATGTGAAAAAAAAAAAAAAAACTCACATGATCGCTGAAGAGTTGATTAAACCTTCTGCTTTAATTATTGCTAAAACAGTTTTAGATTCGGAAGCACATAAAAAAATCCAACAGATTATCGAATGATATTATACGATCGCAAATACAAGATCTCAGTGAAGATATTTTAATGCAAGTAATTGAAGATACACGAAAATCAGTCCACTAAAAATAAGCATGCAACTGGGTGAGTCAACTGATGTTGATAATTGTAGCCAACTTTTGGTATTTGTCAGGTATGTGAGGTAAAAAGAGGTGATAGAAGAATTTCTATTTTGTGAACCACTGGAGGTGAATACGAGAGGAATTGAGATTTTCAATCGCATCAAAGATTTTTTGGTGCTTATGTATTAACGCAACCAGGCCAAAATTCGCATAAATTGCCAAATTTGGCGACCCTACGTGTTATACTTAGTTTTGTAAAAAGAGCATGTGGAGATTCACAAAATTTTCCTTCATTTTCGTGCAAATTTTTGTAATTTATGAGAAAATAGCAGTGTACATGGATAAAGTCAAGAGTGTGCGCAATGCCATTTTTGTGCAATTCTGGGAATTTTTTTAAGTAAAAATAAGTTGATGTGTACATGGTTACTGCGAATATGGTTTTCAATCAGTGCTAAAAGCAATAGCCAAAAGATTTCCGCCGAAAAAAAAATTCTGCAACTTATTCAAATTCGAAACCGGAAGGGTTTAATTGCTATTTTATATTTTAAAACAAAATATTAAAAAACTGTATTAAAAATTATCTGTAATTAATAAATGTACATTTTCTTTCTATTCATACTTTTTTACTCAAACCTACAAATAGCGCCAACCTGGTTGCGATAATACGTAAGTACCGATTTTTTACCCAAATATCAATTACCTATGAATGTTATTGGCTCAATATGCACTTATGGAGCACTTAACGATGATTATCTAAGGGTTGCATGCTTAACAGTTTTTTAATTGGGTGAGGAAATTATTCAATTACTGACTAGTCAAAATTGTTATTTAGTAAAAGATTTTGAAAGTTATGATGCAATACTGAGGCTGACCTTCGTAATAGACATATTTAGCCATTTAAATGAATTGAATCTATCAATGCAAGGATTTGGTATAAATATAATATCTAGTGAAAAATTATCTTCATTTATCTCAAAATTAGAAATTTGGATACGACGAGTAGAAAAGGGGAATTTTGCAAACTTTCCTTTGCTTGATTCTGTTATTGTGAAAAATTAAAAGAATACAATTATACCCGACCATTGTAATACATATGAGACGATTGAGTGAATCATTCAATGGATATTTTTCTACCAGAAATATTACCAAAAACTCAGAGATGGTTACTGGATCCATTTCTTATTTGACTTAAATTTGATGGATGATAGTGATCTGAAAAAAGATCAACTTAGTGAAATGCGAGCAAGTGGACATGTTCAAATGGAATTCGAACAATTAGAATTGCAACAATTCTGGTGTTCACAGTTACAACGTTATCCAGAATTGGTGAACGGAGCACTGCAGTTACTCTTACCCTTTGCTACCATCTGCTTGTGCGAAATGGGATTTTCATCGCTTTGCACATA